TGTCTATAAACAATCTCCATTCTTCTGGGTTATAGTTTATATTTAAAGCCGCCAGTAAGCCGTTAATGTTACTGCAGAAAACCAAGTTATTCTCCATATTGAAAAATGGTTCTAAGTCTTTGTGGCGTTTACGAAAAACACATACCGAAACATCGTCTTCTTACAAGTTCCACTGCTGCAGTCTTGATCCAAGTAACTCTGCCTTACATTTTGGAAGTTCTAAATCTGTTACAAGATCATTTAATTCTGACTGTGTTATTTTGTGCGGTTCGTGGCATGACGTGCTCGGTATAAAATCAGGATCTCTTGACGTTGATGGCATATCTTCTTCCTGACGAATCACTCGATCGCCATGATCTGATTCGTTTTCTGATTCGCAAGTGTAGGATTCTGGGGGTTTTGGAATAGGATTTTCGTCACTGTGAGGCACAGGTCTCATCGCAGATGGTATGTTTGGGTAGTTAATAACCGATTTTTTTTTCTTGGACATACCTGTGGCTTTTTCAACACAAGGTAGCATGCAAAAGTAACAATCATTAATATGATTTGTAGGTTCTCTCCAAACCATTGGGACAGCAAAGCGCATAGACCGTTTTTTGCCATTTAACCAGCTCCTCAGACTTGAAGCACATGTATGACAGCAGATATGGGGTGCCCACTGTTTGTCTTGATCACCTAGTTTACAACCGAAATAAAGCTGATATGCCTTTGTTAATAGTGGAGTAATAGACCGTCTCTGAGACGCAAAAGTCACATCACCACACACGTAACAAAACTGATCTGGATTGTTTACACACTTTCGAGACATCTTGCATGAACGCTGTCAGCCAACTGAGGAAAAAATGGCTAATATGAAACAATATAATGTACACGTATGTATAACGTAACACAATCATGCCGATTACATCATCTTTCCTTGCCGAATATAAAAATGTAGCACGTGCATTCTTGTGAATTACAGTATATTAACACTGTCACAGCAGGAACACATATAATTACCGTATCTCTAAAACTTGAACTAATATTGAAAAAATAAGTTTCATTCCGGTTTAAGCACATTAAAAATAGCAATATTTTGTTGATTTTATTTAGGATATTTTTTGGCTGTTGATCAGTGATTAGTCTTGTGGTATATACTCATTATCACTTTTTCAAATTTTCTTTTAACTTTCTTCTTGGAACTCTATAAAAATCTTTCCCCATGACCATGAAGGCAAAGTACACTGATTTTCCCTTTGGTAAAAATTTACTTAGCAGATTTTTTATTGCGAATATGTGCTCCTGAGGGCTTTTTCCCTTTCTGAAGGCACTTTGTGTTTCAGACAGTCTGTCTGTCCAGAAAAAAATATGAACTTAATTACAACATGTACAACGAGCATACAGGTCGCTCGTTAAACTCCTTTGTAACCATCCTGGAAACTTCTTTTCCCATTCTCGATTATAAGATTGTGTACTTTTCTATGTTACCCCTGAACTTGAAACCTCACCACCAGACATTTTAATTTAGTATTTAATTAAAAACGGACGAGCTTTCTTTTCCTTATTGTTCGTCTGGTGATGCGATACTGACCTTGATCTACCAGTCTGTACTTGTACGTACAAAAACTAATGCAGCGAAAGCGCAGAATACACTTTTAGAAAACTTAAACCTACGTCCCTCGTGGCCTGACTGCCCAAGTGTACGCATATGTATATGATTGGTATGGAACATAAAACTACCTATACTACAACTATTTAAAACTGTAATGACTCATACGCGTGATCAACACGTGATCAGAGCTCGATCCCGGCTTCCTTCGGTACAGCCGTATAGCGTACGACATATGTCGTTTCTGTGGCTTTGCGGTGGTCAACAGCACAGACAGAGATGGAAATAATGGCTGATTGTTCTCCGCCGGTAGAACCAATGAAATCAAAGACGCGCCTCGACCGGCAGACTCATAGGCGTCGGCAACGCATTGGAACGTGTTTCGTTGAGCGATCGCATATTGTGTGTTTTCATAAGAATTGTTGTGTGATTGTTATTGTTGTGGTTTCTGTGGTTACTGTTTTGGTTATACTTAACCATGGAGAGTACAAATGGCACGAGTGGAAGTACTGAAAGCCAGGGAACAAGAAGACGGCTTCGTAAAGCACTGAAGAGGGACGCGAAAGAAATCGTGCTCAACGTGTTCAATTATCTGAACAGAACTATGTCGCAGGGAGATGCACAGATAGACAAAAACGTAGTGAGTAACCGACAAGCAAGCATTGAAGATTTGTCAACAGGTCTTCGTGGACCGTCAGGGAAAGGTCAAAGATTAATCGTAACTCATATTGGTAGCGATGGTGGCTTTTTAGAAGAGTGTGACTTGATTTTCGTCTCTAAGAAAGGAGGTGATTACCATGACGAAATGAATGCCAGCTGCTTCGAGAGCTGGTTTCAAGGGGTGCTTCAACAAGTTGAGCCCAACTCTGTGATCGTCATGGATAATGCTTCCTACCATAGTCGTCGAGCCGAACGTGTACCGACTATGGGATCTCGAAAAAGTGACATGCAGCAATGGTTGCGCGAAAAAGGAATCCCGTTTGACGATTCATGTGTGAAATCGGAATTGTATGAAAAAATTAAACAGCACAAACCTGCGAACATTAGTTACGTGACTGATGAGATGGCCCGTCAATGTGGTGTCACTGTGCTGCGGTTACCGCCCTACCACTGTGAACTGAACCCAATAGAGCTCATCTGGGCTCAAGTGAAAGGTTATATTGCGCGCCATAACACAACCTTCAAATTACCAGACGTTAAGGTTTTACTTGAGACTTCCATACAGCTAGTAACGCCCGAAGCTTGGCAGAATGCTATCCGTCATGTTGTGAAGGAAGAAACACAAATGTGGCAGCTTGACCACCACATCGACACCATCATAGAGCCAGTTATAGTCAATTTCAACGAGAAAAGCGATAACGACAGTTTATTACTGTCAGATGTAAGTGGAAGCGACGATGAATAAAGGTAATTCCCAAATTTTTGACTTACAATATGTTTCAAACCACTCTTTATTAAGCATGTGACAAATCTAGTTCACCCATGTTAAACATTCATACCCCGCCTATGAACAGCCGACTACTGGTAGTTAAGTGATGTTCACGTGAACATCGATGAGTCATTACAGTTTTAGATAGTTATAGTATAGACTATGACATTCAATTTTTTTCAGCTTGATTTTTGGTTATAGCCCGCTTTCGGTAAACAATCTGGAAATATCTGTATTATTTTAAAACATAGTGGAGAATGAGGACATTTTCCGGTGTTTCGTCAAACAAGGTCTCATTTCGGTAGAAATATCAAAAAAAAATCAGTAGGTTCGACAATATTATGCAGAAGAATAAACTTAATAATCAGTATCGCTTCAGAGTTCGAAGAAGCAGTGGAATTGTGTGCGGAACTCCAAAATATACTGAGTGACATATACAATGCAGCACCCAGAATTATTTATTGAATTTTGATAAAAACTTGTAAACATATTTGCTATCATGGAAGTATATGCTGATAAAATGTGGAAATCATTCCGAGCCGTACTTTTTTGTAAAGATCCGAAGACTAGACTAAACTTTTTAGAAGCGTCCGGAGTGAATCTGCTTCAGTAGCCTCTTCGATCTCCAGACCTTTCCCCTATCGAACATGTATGGGACATGATGGGAAGAAGCCAAATTCCGATTGTCTGGGATACAATACACCAACAAGGCATCAATCACCTAATCCGATCAAAGCCGCGGCGTTAGTCAAAATTGTTGTGTTGTGGCATCCATGGTAACGTTTATAAAACAAACCCGAGCCTTGTTGTTTTGCTGTGCAATTTACTACCTTAGCCAACAAATTGCTCCCAAAGGAAGCACTTATACAACTGTTGTTTAGTAACTGTACATATGCTAAATATGTTGGTAAACAACTTCACCATAACCTAACTTTCTGCTGTCATATTTTTGTTAAAATGCCATAACCAATGTTTTAAGACAAACAACGCATGCATGTACAAAAGGTTTTATCAACTGTTCAAACAGAATATATAGATCTGGTACAAATTCTGGGTAAATCATTCGACTCTGTCGGTATTTCATTTCAGACATTTGTCAAAATGTTGTATAACACCTGCAGGCAACCCCAAAATATTCTAATAACCTAAAGACAACATGGACGATGCCATGATGGTACACAACCACCCGCCATATTGGGCGAACATTTATTCCTCTATTTAATATTAAATAATTATGTTTCAGTTCGAAATTACAGATATAATGTGATAAACATTAGTGTAATTGTGTCTAAATATAGGATTTGTGGAAGATTTAACGCAGATAAGTTCAGTTTTCCATCTTAAAAATCTAGACATACTTTTGATCATTGTCAAAATATGAATCAAATACAAAGCCCGTAGAAATAGGGTAACTAATTTGCACGATAATCACAATAAAATTTGATGCGCAAGTAAGTCAATAGCCCTATATCAATGTGTAGAAGTTTATCATATACCTGTGTATGAAATTCACAATGGCCGATATGTAAGTAAACAAGATGACTGCAATGTGTTAGTTATATATTCTTCACTTCGTCTATACAATACATAAGAAATAGTTTTTTTGCAATAAAGTAGAATCACGTAACAGAATAGTTGTATAGTTGACAAAAACTGAATCTTGCACTGACGCAAATGTCCTATAGCGGCTGCAAGAGGCTTACACTTTTGTTTTATAACTGTTACCTGCAGCCCTTATACAACCTCTTAAATGACTGAAGTGTCCTATTAGGTGTGCCCATTCCGCTTGTGTAGCTGTTCTAAGATGGTTTTGCCAATGTTCTTACAGTATACAATGCTGTGTAAGGAATACTGTATAATCATTCTTGCAACTCTAATAGGAGTGATAATTGTTAGTTGGGCTGTTTTATAGCAGGATCTGCTTTTTAAAATTACTATCTGAATGTGTCACATTTTCCCTGCTGATATTTTGTCTTTTTTCAGGAGTGACCATTCTTCTGTCGCTGACTGTGTTCCTGAACATGGTCGCTGAGACAATGCCTGCCACATCAGATGCTGTGCCACTTCTTGGCACCTACTTCAACTGCATCATGTTTATGGTTGCTTCTTCAGTCGTTTCAACAATTCTTATATTGAATTATCATCATAGAAACGCCGATACGCACGAGATGTCACACTGGGTAAGATCAGTTTCAGATTAAAGAACATATATATTCTGGTATCGAAAAGGAAGAGAGCAGCAAAACACATCGTACATTACTGCTGGTGCGGCATGACTTTGAACTGACAAAACTTCATTTTCGAGACCCGAGTATACAGGGTGTCCTGAAAGTTGGGAACAAAGCTAATGTTTAATGAAACAGAAACGAAAAAGTAAAAAAGAATAAATGAAAATTTGCAGAGAAATCTCAAGTACTTATACGAGCTCTGTAAATTAAGTGACGAGACTGGCATGGTAGTGTTTGATCTATCAATACTGGATGAGTCGAGCTTCGAGGTGGACAAGGGAATATGTGATCCGCCTTCAGTACAGTCTGAACTCGCTCGAGTCAGTCCGTAGCGATTTTTTTTTTCGTGAAACAGTTTTTTCTAATGTGCTCTAAAAATGGGTGACATTAATTTCGATGGTGTAGTATCATGTGTTGCTTCAGACTTGGGCACAATGCAACGGAAACTCTTGCTAAAATTCAGCAAGCCTACGGAGATGGCGTTTTGTCAAGCCCAGTTTTTCGATGGTATAACACGTTCGCTGCCTACTCAGACTGGATTAACTGTTCCCAGTAGCCAAATACTTTTTTTCACCAATCAGACTAATATTGGTATATGTAGTCATTTTTGGTTATTTATACTGGTATCAAATTCAAAAAAGGTGTATATTAGTAGAGAAAAAAAATGAACCTTGTCTCATATTTTAATGTGTTGAATTTTTATTCAATTTCCCTGGTAACGTTCTGTGACATTTTTACAATGATTCATTTTTTTACAGATCCGCGTCGTTTTTTTATACTGGTTGCCATGGATACTGCGCATGCACCGTCCAGGTGACGGCAGCGAGTACGGGGATTCCCCGACCAGGCCCGTCTCTTCCGAGAGAAAACCGATCCATTTTCCTGACGTGGAACTGAAGGAGCGCTCCTCCAAGAGTCTGTTGGCCAACGTTTTGGACATTGAAGATGATTTTAGGCACAGTCACACAGCCTTTAGAGTTGGAACTCCAGGGTTACCATCAGCAAATACGTTTTTCCGTGGGAGTTTCGCGTAAGTATAAAATTATAAATAAATTGTTTATAGACACAGGTATAGGATTTTTCCGTGGTTTAACTCTAACTTCAAACTTCAAGGTCATTTCAAGGTTAGGTCCCTATATTTTGGACATCAAAAGTGGGTAGCGCAAAAGAATTTACGTTCAAATGAATCCATGGCCCCCACAAAAATTCGACCTCTGAAGGTCATGGTCTCGATAAGTAACCTAAAAGTCACCGCCAATAAAGTGAATATGATAGGACCAACACCTGTTTTATCTAGTCATCTAGTAGTGATAGCTACGGTGCTGATTTAAGACTTTTTTCAAGTTCTGAGTGACACTCTATTGTTGTTTGCCATTTGAAGACAATAATGTGGACGATTGAAATGTTGTTCCTCGAACCTCCATTGTCTATAAGGTTTTTTGACTCACGACGTTTCGATTGATACGTAATCTTCAATCGTCATCAGGTGATATATGAATACAGGGTGTCCCAGAAATAACACGCCAGTGTGACCCGGGAGGTAGATTGACTTCAGATCGATCAGATAAAACCAACATGACCTTAGTAAAAGATTTCTAGTTTTCGAGATATTGCCACTTGCTCCTTTTTTGCCTGTTATGGCTATAAAGATTTTCCTACTTATGATTTTTTCCTGAGCTACAATTAATAGTTGGTTGAGAGAACCCACTATTAATTCCATTGAAAACTAGTACGGTATGCTAAAAAAACTAAATTATTACATTTGGTTTCAATCCGAAAACCTTTACTTAGGTTTGAATAATTACTGTAAAAAAATGTACCAGACTGAGTTATCAAATGACCTTAAAAGCTAGCTATTTAATGCTCTTTCAACAATAGTATAATATTTGTGGGTTCTTTTTACTGTAAACTGAATAATTCCAACTTCCAGCTGTCTTTTGTGTCCAAATTACAACCTTTTAGTTGCTGTAATAGCTTTTTATTTTAGCAAATGTCTAAAACAGCTATCCATTATTCTTTTTTATTCATTGTTATACGCAGGCATCAAAATAATGAACATAACATTTGTTTGTATTTCTTCTTATTTCCATAGATTTTCACAACATTCAAATGAAATGAAGAATTAGGAGTTATTATAACATCTTAAATCAACTAAATGAAAAAAATAACATCTTGTAATGTAATTATTGCCTGAAATAAATGATTATTATATATATATACAGGGTGACTTCGAAGTTGAGTCATTTATTTTAACAGTGAGTAGATCTGATCAAAAGAAATGTTTTTTTCCTTTACCATTTTTCTGGTAAAATTAAAGTAACAAAGTTATAGCCCTTTGGAAGTTTGAGTACCGCCCTGTCTCAATAATAATATTATGTGCTCGTGTTTGGCAACAACGGATATAATCCGCCTTATCGGTTCATCGCATCGGAAACAAAAAAGCGAAAGAATTTGGAACGATGTTTTTACAATTATTTTATTCAGTTGTATACAGTCAGTGTCAGTCGGTAACGCGTGAGTGAATAGTGGTGTCTGTTGCGTGGCTCAAACGAAATAAAAAATGGCACATGTTTATGCGGTTTCCCAATAGAGTGCAACCAACCCCTCGTGCCTTTGTTAATGTAGTACAACGGGCTCGTGAATCAAGTGACTTAAGACCTCACAGGGGACGGCATGCCGGTGCTCCAAGACCTCACGATCAAATACAGGTCCGCACTGAAATACTTGTCGGGAGGATACTTTATAAAACAAGGTACTTTTTTTTATTTTTTTTATTTTTACACACATATTTTGGTTTATCTTCCTTCTACAATCATTATCTGAAAATTAATAACTCAACTTCAAAGTCACCCTGTATATATATATATATATATATATATATTATAAGGAAAGTGGATTCAAGCAGAAAATAGGCCCCCGAAATGAATGCACATATGCAACCACAAAAGTAGATACACATGCCCATACATCCGGGTACGGGTGTAACCTGAGGAAACGAAGATGGAGAGGAAAAAAATGACACACGAAGTCCCCAACAAGAGCCAACATACACATTGTAATGGCTAGAAGACCTCGAATTTTGAAGGCGACATCTAACCACAACCACGCGGCCGTTTATAACCACTTGCTGTGGTACTTCAAAGAAACGAAAAAAAAGCAGAAACGTTTGATTGAGGTGGCTTGATCCCAAGAGCACGTCCATGCTTTGATTCAGGGAGGGAGGACACTTGTCACAGTGGATTTAGGAAGCTGTCTAGAAGAGAGCGTAGTGATGGTCGCAGGATTCATGCTCACGACTGATCGTTGTAAATATGGCCAGGGGGGACATGACCCCATGATCCTCCTTGCTTGAGCCACTGCTCGCAGCCCGCCGTCCCAGATCATGGCCTTTTTGGCCACAGACTAAATACGCCTCTAGGTCAAGGACACTTTTGAGCGTCAATTGTTTTTCTTTACCCACTACCTATATTAAAAAAAGTCGATTTAACTTTGAAGGTCCAGGTAAAGGTCCAATTTAAGGTCACCGTCAGACATCCCGGAAAAAGCTGTTCCTGTGCCTGTGTGAAATTTCTACTAGACCGATGGTTTTCAAAGTACTTGCCGTATGCAGTATTTTTACCTGCATACAAAGAACTTAGGTATATCTTCCATTTGTTGATATGACGCGATGAACTGTAAAAATCTTTCTTTTTCCACCAAGAACTGATCGTTATTCAAACCCGTATCATACGCATACGTGCCAACTTCACCATGCATGAAGCAAAATTACAACGTATTTTACCTGAAAATAGCCAACAATATACAGAAGGAAGGCAAAAATAAATTTAAAAAACCACTTTTAAAAGAGTTAGAGTGTTTAGTTCTGCTATTGCCTCATAGATCACGCGTAGTCGCCGTCGCTGCTATGATTTTTGAACTGTCCGATCCCTGGAGACCACCCGCGTTGATATTGTAGGATAAAGAGTAGGATCTGTCAATTAGGACGGATATCCTGCGGCTAGAGAGAAGGTCAGCCACCCATCTGCAAAACTTTTCAGGGAGTCCATGATGAATATGATGGAAGTTTGCATAAGAGGGAAGCATGCCACAGGTGATCGAACGCTTTCGTGATATCAAGAAAAACGACGTGAATGTCACTATAAGACTAGATGAGTTTACTCCACAGTTGCGTGACGTAAGCTAGGAGATCTCCTGTGGATCGCTGGGGCTGGAAACCATACTGCCTGTCCCTAATCAAGCCGTGACGTGCAAGGTGCTCCAAAAGCTCCAGATTCATGCACCTCTCCACCACCGTACTCATAACAAAAACAGTTCTCTAATGCCTATTTTATCTGGGTATCTCCAGGTTGAATACGCCAATCAATTCCTGAAGGTACTCCGTTGATAGTAGACATTAGAAAGGCGCCAATAATGGATTCAAGATCTTAGCACCGCCTATGAAAGATCAGCAGAACCAAAACTGTTAGCCCTTTTAAAAGTGGATTTCTAAATTTATTTCTGTGTTTTGCTTCTTGGGCGCCGGAGTACAGTATAGTTATCTTCAGGTAGAATGGTCATACAGTCAAGTACCAAAAATGTATCGCACTCCACTGTTAACATCAGTGGGCCTTGGGGTACGTAGGAGGCGGCATAAATCTTGGACAAAAATGGTGAAGGTTTTTGTGGGTTGCAAAAAGCAGTTCAAGCTGAATAAAAGCAGTTTTTGCATCGCTAAGTATTCACATAAAATGGTCATCGGCGCTACGAAATGGCATGTATGTACCTCCCGGACTTTGCTGGTTTTGCGCGGTGCCATCTTTAATTGCAATGACGGCTTCGCGCATTATCGATAGTCAAGTGTTTATAATTCGTGTTCAGACTAACCAAAACAGGACAAAAATATACCCTTAACCTAGCTGCGTTGTACTTAATTGTAATATGCCAAGTCTTACGAGGTCTGTAAATTAAGAGATAATCGAATATAATTACAACTCTATATTGTCACCCTCAAAATAACTTCCTGGAGCCACACAGTGCTGGAGACGTTTTTTCACTCCTCATAGCACTGCTGGAACTCCGATACTGGAATAGCCTTCAGCTGATCAATTAAAGCCATTGGAATATTTTCGACTGTCCCACAATGGTGATTTTTCAATTTCTAAAAGAGAAAAATGTCACAAGGACTCAATGCAGGCCGAGGAGCCATAGGGATGTTTTTTCTGGCCCAACACTCGTTTATTGACATTGCTGTGTGACAAGGAGCATTATAGTGATGCAACACCCAGTTATTCTTGATTTGTCAAGTCAAATTTAACTTTTCCCAGATTATTCTGACAGTCAACCGATGATCTGAATGCACAAGACCCTTGTTTCTGTCGATTTTTTCGTCGATTCGTGAAGATGAAGTCCTTCCGCTCCATGGTTCATCTTCAATCGACCCTATCCCTTCTGAAAATGCCTTAAACCACCTAAATATCTGGGCTCTTGACACAACACTATCTCCGCAGGCTTGCTGAAGTTTAGCAAAAGTTTTCCTTGCACTGTACCAAGTCTGGAGCAAAACCTGGTAGCACAACGTTGCTCGAAATTGATGTCACTCATTTTTACGGCACAACAGAAAACTGTTGAATTATGCAGGGCGTTCTGCGCTCCGTGGAATCGTGGTGTAGGGAAGTCGATCTTGCTGTTAATGCTGAAAAGACCGAGCTGATCCTATTCACTAGGAGAAGAAGGCTTGACGGGCTGGTCATGCCGACCTTCTTTGGGACTAGATTAGTTTTATCCCAGTCAGTGAAATATCTGGGAATTATAAGGTTAGCAAGGCTCGTAAGGTGGGGGCTTAAACCCAAAGTGCTATACTGTCTCTACAGGACGATATTACGTCCATCTCTCTTGTACGGCTCCCTGGTCTGGAGGCCTTGCATTAGAACTGAGACAACTAAGGCCAAACTCAATAAAATTCAGCGTTTGGCCTGTATTAGTATTACAAGCGCAGTGCGAACAATGCCATTGAGTGCAATGGAAGCTCTGTTGGATCTCCCACCGTTGGATCTGGTGAAGCGAGAGTAGTCGCTCATCGACTGCGGAGTCAAGGCAGCTGGGCTTTCTTGAATGCTGGCAAGGGGCATACTGCCATCTTAGTTGAATTAGAAAGGGAGGACCCCGTCCTTCTAAGCAGGGGTGATCGTATTACCCCTAAATATCGCTTCAACTGCAAATTTATTGTGGAGTATCCAACGAGGTAGGAGTGGGACTTCGCTAAAAGGGCGAGGCTTGGGATTTAAGGATTGTAGAGGTGCATAAGGGCCCGCTTAAGCGGCCTGTGCACTGGCTCCTTATGGTGGCCGGAATGCCTCTAATTTCAGGATTCATTCATTCAAACTGTCTCCCAAAAAAAACCGTTACGAGTTCAAACTAGTACTGAAGGCGAATCACAGGTTCACCTGTCAAACACTTTGTAACCAATCGCATCACTCAACTTACAGACCTCGTATGCGGTGTCCTATGACTGATACTGTATGGTGAGCAAAGACATGTTTATCGCGAAGCATCGACAAATGATCTTACTTAGGTTGGGTTTTAACAGGCAAGCCGATGATGGTACCAACGGGGCAAGCGGTCAAAGGTTGCCAGATTCCATAGTCACCAACCACACCTGCTTATCAGCTGACTACGAGCTAACCATGATCCTGAAAGAGATCCGTTTCATAACGGATCAGCTGCGGAAAGAAGATGAGGCAGCTTGCATAACCAGGGACTGGAAATTTGCTGCAATGGTGGTGGATAGACTGTGCCTTATCATATTTACTCTGTTTACTATCATAGCCACGTTAGCGGTGCTGTTTTCAGCGCCACACATTATCGTCTCGTAGCCTTCCCCGTCCCTCTAGATCATCAACGGCTAGACTAATGTCTAGACATAATCGTAACACGTTGGATCGGAGTACTCCTTGTCCGCACCTCTCTAGATACTTTGCTTTCGTTTTTGCCTCGAGCTTAAGCATACATCGCTTCTCATAACCACAAAATTTATTTTTTGAACGTGTCAACTAGCAGACATTCTACGTAACGAAACTGATGCATGAATACTATAACGTGAAAGTGACAGTTGAACATTCCAAGATGCAGGCTGGGCGCCACATTGGAACATTTCTTAAACGAAATGGGATCCCAATTGATACTCCATTTTGATGTTCCTTATAACCCCAAAAATGCCATTGAATCCCTTACATCTAATGACCAACACGCTACATTATGTTATCTCAATATTCTTGTCATGGAAGGGCTATCTAAATATACTAAGTATCAGATATGGGACCTTTCGTTCAGAAAAATCGACAGACTTTGTCTTTTTTTTAATGGAATGTTTCGATTTTATTACACATTCATATAGATCCTACCAAAAGCAGAAGATTCATATAACTATGGCGTTTTGATTATTAGTTGTTGACTTATACACGATTCAATATACCGGGAGTTAGAAAATAGCATCCTAAAAGTGGAAAAGGGAAATAGCCAGAAATCATTTTTAGCTTGCTTAAGTGGCCGCAAGGGGGCGCGTTATCAATTTTAAAAACTCAAACGCCATTATTTTGAAAAAATTAATTAACCCTGTTATGTTGACTGCACAATGTTCGAGCTTCTCTCGCGATGTTGTTTTACCATATTTTGGTTCGTTTAAGGTAGGTTGAAAGTTCAATGTCATTTCAGGAAAAATATTATAACTTCTGTTTGGCTGCACCAATTTCCATGATCTTGGTTTTATCCTAAAAAGAACTTGTTACTGCGCAGACTGCGCTCAAAATTAAATGTCTAAAATATCTTTTAAACGTATCATATTGATACATTTTACACAACTATTGATATCTTGAATTTTTCTTTTTATATAGTAGCACTTGAAAATTCAAATTCAAGCATATTTTTCATCATATCTTCATAACGAATCAAGATATTGATCTGCGGTTTTCGCCATCTTATGCGATTTCTCATGCATTAAAAAATTATACCGTTGTATATGTGTGTATTTGACTGGTTTTATATTCAAGAGTTATAAAGTTATAAAGTTTCACATAAAATCAGGTATAACGACCTCCTATTCCGTTTAATAAAATGCTCCAGGATGTTCCGCTATACCGCCATCTTGTAATTAAAATGTCTCATTTAGGCTAAAATACAGTATTTATGCATCAATTTCATCACCCTGAATGTCAGCTTGGTAACTGTGTAGTTAAAAATTACATAGAACAGTGAGATACACGCGACATACTCTTATCTCCATCCAACCAATCGAAACTTTGCTAGAAAAGCGATTATTGCTCTAGTTTTTTTTTAATTCGCATCCTACTATAGCACGCTTTTGCACTTCTTAATTTCTTATTGCAGCTTGTTTTTTGCATGAAATTTTGACTCAGCATTTAGTTTTAACATAATTATGATAAAATAAAAAAACCTCGCATGCTCTGTTTAGGGTCCTAAGGCACATGTTGCTAAGCTTTTTTATCAGTCTTTAGTACCAGGAAGTTAAAAATATCTTGGAGACATTTTCGACAACTCATTTTAAGGAAGCTGATTTTCTTGACATGTTACGACATTTCACGAAAAGCTAAAAAACAGGTTTAACTATATTAAAAAATCCTTGAGGAAATCTCATTTTGGAAAAGCTATCTCCGTCTTCCTGTAGGGTATCTGCAAACAAAATAGCATTATTAAAAGAAATGCGTAGTGAGAATCAGATTCAATTCGCAAGGGGTGGCATTATTACCCCGAAATACTGCTTCAATCGTAAATTCACCCTTCAAGATAGAAGGGAGTGTCAAGGGGCTAACGGAAACTCCGCGTCAAAATAAACATGAACGCTAGATCCGTACTTCTAATAGCTGGTCGCTGCCTGTCCAGGCATTTACGTGGAATAAGAGCGCGCGAATTTGAACATCGCGCTCTGGTGTGGAGGAATGTCTGAATTCCGTTTAAAAAGGTGTTTGTTAGACTTTTTCACGTTTAAACCTGTTTACAGAAACCTGCGTTAATTCCAATAAAAAATCAGTTTTAATAGAATAAGTTGTCGACTTGCCTCCTTTTATGTCAGACTTTTTTCGGCAAACTGTGCTTTAGATGCTCATTTAAAAATACTCTGTTTCTAATACTAAAATAATAATTTAACTGAATAATAACAGTAAGTCTTAGGCAATATTGAGATTAGTCAATTCAAAAAATTGTCAATATAAAATAAGCTATTTCAATTATGTAACTTATTCTAGCTACTATGATCGCTCTATGACTGATTTTGTGTTACACCATTGATTAACATATTCCAACATAGAAGATGTAAATAAAATGGTTACAACACAGTATCAAAATTCGAAAAAATCAGTCTCACATCCAAAAAAAATGTATCGATCAATTGCAATCTCAAAAATACTGACAATAATTTAAGTACGCTCATGATATATGTATTATCAGTTTTGTTAAGGATATCTAGATATATATTGCTATAAGTAATGCTTGTTTAAATAATGAAGATTTTAAAAGAAGTTTACATATAAATACAGTTTCGCATTACCTCTCACCTTTCTACTGACTTTGTACTCTTTATTAACAATTTGATTCTCAGGAAATGCTCATATTTCTATCATAATCCAAACATTTTACAGTGCTTCTGAAAATGAAAATGTGCCCCTATTTTGAAATTTGGGGTGATGAAATTGATGCTTAAGTACTATCTCGTAGCGTAAAAGTGGCAGTTGGAATTGGGGACCATCTTTCAAATAGAATGAGGGTCACTTGGATGCTTCGCATAAGTACATCGTAATCTTAGAATATAAAATCACAAAATGGGCGACTAGCAGCCTTCCACAAGTGAAACAGGTTCTAAATCAAGTTTTAGCTGATCCCTATTCAATTAAAAAATGTCTCAAGATGGCGCCTGGCCACCATATTAAAACTTTCTACTACCACTTTCACGCTAAACTCTTCTATCTGTCAATTTCATTTCCTTGCTTTTCAGCTTGCTGACGCGATCAAAGAGTAAGTAGGGGGGACGTTTTCAAAAAGCATTTTCATTCTGCCCTATCAAAATATTAAACTACGCTAACTATAACACTTCGTCAAAAAAATAGTATATTGCCAAAGAATAGAGTATTTCTGTTATGGGAGCCAGATCTGATGGGAATAGCTGGTAAAGAAGGCGTGGGAGAACTAACTCTTCCTCATAAGATCTATACCAGCTTACAGTATTTCATATAGTCTTGCCTGTATTTGAATGAGTGCCATATGAGCCCCAAAAGAGGTCGAACAGAATAGTGAGGAATACTACCTCCCAGAAGGGTGGGTGTGGGTACCGGGGCATGCTGGAGTAAAGAAAAATGATATGGCAGACACTCTCGCGAGAGCAGCATCAGCAGAAAAGCTTGTTGGACCTGAGCCAGCCCTAGGGATGCCCGCGCAAAGAGTCAGGAGCTCATCGTTGGGCCCAGTATTAGGAATGGTCACTTTTGCGAGTCTTTGGATAGAGCCAACCTATGATTGTTGGCGGGACTGTTGTCTGGCCATAACATGATGAGGCGCCACCTACAAATTTGAGCGCTGTGGGGTAGAGGAGGAGTCCTCGACGCATGTTCTGTGTCGCTGCGAGGCTACAGGCAGACTACACTACACTTTGGATCTTTGACTGGCGACTGGTTATTCAGGGCACGCCTTGAGGAGAGTTTTTCTTATTGTCTTGCTCCTAATGATAGAAGGATCATCTACTTGACACATCAAAAAGGAAGACAGCGGGGCATCGTTCAGAGCTTGAAATTGGACTCCGCCTAACAGTTATGATTGGGGGTGCACAATAAGTTTTAGACTGAGCCAGCCAGAGAACTGAATCCCCCATTGCAACCAAAGGAAAATTACGCAACAATTGCATATTCATCAAAATGTTAATATGTGGTAGAAATATGAGTATTACTTTTAAAGCACCTTTATAATGCACTTTGATCGCAAACAATCTTGTGCCAAAGTAACATTCGACCTTGAATATACTTTTTCGAGTATTTACACAAAATCCTCTTAAAAGGACTGTCCTAACGTAACAAAAAAATGTCTCAATAGCGACAATTCGTGCCAAAAAATACAAAATGCGGTGAATTTCATAGAAAGCCAGTGGTGTAAAAGATATGTTTCAGCAGGAGTCCACGTACCCTAGTTGTCACGAAATTCAGACATTTGACAACTGACAAGTACACAAATACTAATGATGTAACTTAAGTACTCAAAAGGGTTTCTCAAGGTCATTTTTCAATACCGATCCAACGTTGTATGATAAATGCGGAGTATTTTTTAAAATATACTCTTTCCCTCTACAGTTTTTCTGTTTTCTTCATTTTCATGGGTACTCGCGTTTGGTTGTTTCATGGTTGTTTAGGATATTAATATATACTGTGATAATTGAAGTTAAATATTGGGTTAAATAATACGAGTGATCAATATTTTCTTGTTAAAGAAAAGGTTAGGCTAGGCCTAGAGCTCTGACAGGTAGGTATACAGACTAGAAAGACTGAAGCTAGATTAAATTAATAATATATTACAAGCACGTTTGCTGTAGAGTATAAAACAAATGTGAAACATAGGCTCTTACTTTAATCAAACAGAAACTTGGCACAAAGGCTCTGTATTATTTGTTTTCCGAAATTTGAATAACTAAGCCCAAATTGAAACGACTTGTGAGATACTTTTATTTTAGTTTTAAATAAAAAGACTCAGATACATTTTCGGAAATAAGGCGGATTACATTCAATCATCTGCTTGCCAACAACTTTCTAACGAGTTATACGTTTCGCCTATTCGCCATTTTTATAAAAGGTATGGTATTGAGAGTTCTTAAGCGGCAAACGCTTTCCTACATGCTAATATATATTTGGTAAAACTACGGAAAGTTTTAGATCAAAGAACTTACCGTTTCAATTTACATAGAAATGATGTAACAGCATGCCGTTGCGGATAGCCGGATATTACAGTCACTACAAATTCACCATCTTTTTGTTGACGTAGGAAAAACATTTTACATGAGGGTTGCTGCCTTTGATCCGTCCCACCCGCATGCAATAAAGCTGCATTTAATTCATAGTTTTATATTCCTACATGATCCCTGCTAACATCAACTGGTGCTCCGGCATTTTGTCCGGCTGCTGAAACCAGCTGTACAGGAGATACCATCTGTGGGTCTTAGTTTTGTCTCTTAGATGTTCTTTCAATTTTGGAAGCAGTTTGAAATTAATGGGTGCCAAATCTGGAGAGTACGGTGGGCAATTTATCAACTTAGAGCCTGTTCGGCCTAGCAAAGAGCATATATGGCTGGGAACATTTTGTTACTCCCGGTCAAACTCGCTCAG